TTTTGAGACAAACTCTTGCTGTGTTGCCCAGGCTGGAATGCAGTGGTGCTATCTCGGCTCACTGTAACCTCTACCTCCAGGGTTCAAGCAATTCTCCCGTGTCAACCTTTGGAGTAGCTGGGACTATAGGCATGCGCTACCATGCCAGGCTAATTTTTTTGCATTTTTGGTAGAGACAGGGTTTAACCATGTTGGTCAGGCTGGTCTCGAACTCCTGACCCCAAGTGATCCGCCCTTCTCGGCTTCCCAAAGTGCTGGGATTACAGACATGAACCACTGCGCTGGGCCAGTTCTTATAGTAAGCTTATAGAAGTTGTGTTTTATATTACTCAATGTCCTTCTATTTTCTAGTACAGCGTTATCCACATGCACGTAGAACACAGGAAAATCGGATGTTGTTGTGTTGATGACATTCTTAGAGATAAAGTATGAGTGTTCTGTTTCATCATCCCCTTTGCTCATCCTTCTATTTTCCTTGTTTTCAAGATCAGAATGTTATATCATTTGGATTCTCAGTCTTACAGATATTTGCCTGAAGACTTGATAATAGATTTTTGTTTCTAACATCTAAAACTTAAAGGGTTTAATTGCAGAGAGCACCACAGTTAGCAAATGCATTTATAATAGGGGGCTAGTAGTATAATATACAAATTAATCCTAGTTGCAAAGACAATCCTATCAACTTTAAAATATTGCTTGTTTCATCTAGACAATTTTATGACTCTGTCCGATAATTATTAAGTTTATAAATGTGTTAGAATTTTATAGGTCCATTTCCTGGAAAGGACCAAATCCCAGGGAATGTTGTCACATACCTGCTCTCATAGTTTAGACTGGTGGTTTCTAAAGTGAAGTTCATGCATCACATGAAGGTACAGAAAGACATTGTTAGAATGTCTTTGTTTTCATGACTTCTATTTTAGTTATATGCCTTATAATTATTAGTAGAGAAGACGTGTTTTTATAAGTAAAAGTAATTAGAGGCTTATGCTCAGATACTTTTATTGATGTGGAATAAAAAGTGGAGACCACTAATCTAAATAAAAGGCCACTAATCTAAATACCGTTTCATAACCTGAAGTCAGTTTCTGTTACTTAGCCGTAACAAGTCAAAAATCAACTTATTAAACATAAATTCTGTGTCCAGCCTGAACAGAGAGTTGTGATGTGTGCATAATTCTGCATGGATGAACAGCATAAGACACATTCCTTGCCTTTAGAGAGTTTACAGTCTGATTGGAAGGAATATGGGCATAAGGAACAATAATTAGAAAATGACACAAGGGGCCAGGCATGGTGGCTCATGCCTGTAATTCCAATACTTTGGGAGGCCAAGGCAGGTGGATCACTTGAGATCAAGAGTTCAAGACCAGCCTGGCCAACATGATGAAACCCTGTCTCTACTAAAAATACAAAAATTAGGCAGGTGTGGGGGCACGTGCCTGTAATCCCAGCTGCAGGGGAGTGTGAGGCAGTGAGGCAGGAGAATCGCTTGAACCTGTGAGGCGGAGGCTGCAGTGAGCTAAGATCGCACCCCTGCACTCCAGCCTGGGTGACAGAGTGAAACACCATCTCAAAAAAGAAATAACGTAAAGAAAATGACACAAGGTAGCATAAGTGTGCACTGAGAAACTTAGCAGTATGAGTTTGTCAGTGTAAAATTGCTGTAGAAAGTGTGATAGGAGTGGCATAGTACATGGTGATTCTGTATTCTCAGAATGTTCCAAAGACTCTTATAGGATAAAATAATTCTTTGATTATCAGGTCAGTTCTTAGTCCACCTACCCAAATAAGCTGTGCTTGAACTCTCTCCTGGACCCAGATGTTAACTGGATGAACAAAAAGCTCATCGAATTAACATCTGGGCCCAGGAGGCAACTGGTAAATAATTTTTACCAATTTTCTTAATGGCATGCCTGCATTTCCTTTAAATTATAAGAGAACGTGGCAGAATGGACATGTTGAGAAAGTAATAAAGTTTTTGGAGCAGTGATAGTGTATAAAAGTAATTTAAACAGTGATAGTGTATAAAAGTAATTTAAAGTCAGCGTATTAGTTTCTTAGGGCAGCCATGACAGAGTACCAGAAGCTGAGTGGCTTTAAACATGTATGTTCTCACTTTCTGGAAGCTAGATG